AGGGCAGGGCAGGGCAGGGTAGGGTAGGGTAGGGCAGGGTAGGGTAGGGTAGGGCAGGGTAGGGTTGTCTCCACATTGACTCACCAGAGACAGGGGAGGCCATGACAGCCTCCAGACATGTCCTGGGATCCCGGGACAGAAAGAAGAGACCTGAGTCAGATGAACGGTGAATTTCTCTGTCAAACTGAATACTTTCTGGTGGTCAGAAAGCAGATGCAGTTTATCTCAGGTCATGGAACTTGTTGGTAGGAATTCCTAGCCACGTTCACTCTTCATCTGCCAGTGGATATTGGGTGTGCCATGCTCTGGCCCAGATGCTGTGTTTTTCAGGCTCCTGACAATCTGCCCACTTCTTTTCCTAACGGGCCATGACAACCCGATTCCTACTGAGTGCACAGAATCCACAGAGCTATACATTCCTTCCTTGCCGAGCCTTGCTTCCTTTCCTTAAGGCAAGTGATGGAGAAACAAAGGCGCAGATGATAAACATTTTTAATTCGGAACCCAGATTCACAGTCCTGAGTTTTAGATGAGGGCTTTATAACTATCCCATAAATACTCCCAAACTGTCTGGGCTGCTTCACCCAGGTCCACTCTGTCAACAAGAAAGTGTAGAGGGTGGGGCTTACCACGAAGTAGAGGGTCTCAGGGCCAGGGAGATGCACTGCAGAGAGACCTGTGAATCCAAGCCTTGGAAAAAGCATTCAGAAAGAATAAACCATGGCACTGTCTGGCAAGGGAAAGATGATCTATAAATAATATGTATTTACTTCTTGATGCATCCCTGAGCTTAGTAGTTATGTGCTTTATCTCCAAGTTTCTCTCATGGTTATAGATTATTTATCCATCCCAAATGGGTTCCACCCGGGACTCTGGGGGTAGGTCTGTGACGGGAAGGTGGTACCCATCGGCTTGTTTAGTCAGGGCTGGACGAGGTCAGCTGTGAGTTTGGAGAGTTCAGGTCAAGTCCCTCCAACTGGAACAGCCACATCCTCCAGGACTACCAGCCAAGTGCAT